TGCTCTCCAGCGCGGTCGCTAGTGCAAAGAACGTAGGTGCAGGGACCAAAACCCCCACCACGCTGACGCTGCGTGTACCACTCACGGAGCTGCTGAGGGGTGGGGACGTCGCGAGAACGCTGCTGCTGCTGGCGCTGACCATCCCAAGTGCTGCTCCGCTGCGAAGTGCCACTCCGACCACCTCCACCACCGCCACCCCCGCCTCCGCCTCCACCGTCGCCGCCTCCGCCACCTCCGCTCCCACCACCACCGCCGCCGCTACCCCCGCCTCCACTACCGCCACTAGCACCCCCACCCCCGCCACCACCCCCAGCGCCACCCCCACTCCCTCCGCCGCCTCCACCTCCACCTCCACCGCCCCCGCTGGCCCCACCCGCTCCCTTGCCCCCCTTGCCCTTGCCAGAGCGGCGTCTCCCGCTAGGGGCAGACGCCGCACCGACCGACTCAAGACCAACGAGGTTGGCCGCAGCAGCAGAGGCGACAGAGGGCAGGAGAGGGGAAGGAGAACACCCCTCAAAGATGGGGGCGCGGGGGTCACCTCGAGAGGCTCCTACAGCGACTATGCTCTTCTCCGCCGCTAGGAGGGCCTTCTCGAGGCTGTCGACTGTGAGGGTGGTGGGACAGACCGCGAGGAAGTGGTCCCGGACTACACGAAGGGAGTCAGGGAGGCGCGTGACTAAAAAGTAGAGAGTGATGTACATGGGGGGGGGGTTCTTGGCGCAGAAGTCAGCAGGAAGCGCAGCGCGGTAGCGAGTGTCACTAGTGCGGAGGTGCGTAATGAGATCAGCGACAGTGGGAAAGGCAGCAAGGTCAGGGAAGAGGAAGGGGAGCATGAGGCGGCTCAGTGCAGCAGTGGCAGGGGAGGAGTAGCGCGCAACTACAGCGTCGTACAAGGTCTGGGCACTCTTGTACTGGCTAAAGTGCGCGCGCTCAGCGGTAGGCAGGTGGTGACGCACAGCAAGACGTGCAGCAGCATCGCGCGTGGCCCACTGTGAGCGAACAGTGGCGTCAGCATCAGCAGCAGGGGCAGGGACGGCGCCAGAGGTGAGGTCAAAGAGAGAAAGACCGTCTGCCCTATCGCACTGTAAGAACAGCTGCAGGTCGTCGACCTAGACCTCAAAGTCAATGGCGCAACCCTCAGCATCAAAAGCTAGGACACTAGGGGTAGCCATAACGACAGACTAGCAGTGCAAGCAGTGCGGGAAGGGGCACGCAGTAGCAGTGGAGCTGTGCTCACCAGACAAGACGGGTCGGGCAGCTCAGCAACACGGCAACACAGCAGCTCTACCGGCCCAGTAGCAACAGCAGCCCCACAGGACCAGCAGCTCGGCTCCTCAGGCGGCTCGGGCGGCTCGGGCGGCTCGGGCGCCTCGCGCGGATCGGGCGCTCGGCGGTACAGGTGGCTCGGGCGGCTCGGCTCCTCAGCTGCGTAGGCGGCTCGGGCCGCTCGGGTGACGCGGGTGGCACGGGCGGCTCGGGCGTCGAAGGGCCGGGACAGCTTGGCGCGAGGGCGGCTGGGAGCGGGACCGGGGTAGGCGGCTCACGGGTGGCTCGGGGCCGGGACGGGCGGCTCACGGGCGGCGCACAGGCGGCTCACGGGCAGTTCACGGGTGGCTCGGGGCCGGGACGGACGGCTCACGTGCGGCTCACGGGCGGCTCACGGGCGGCTGACGGGTGGCTCACGGGCGGCTCACGGGCGGCTCACGGGCGGCGCACGGGCGGCTACGGGTGGCGCACGGGCGGCTCACGAGCGGCTCACAGACGGCTCACAGGCGGCTTTTGGGCGGCTAAGGGCGGCGTACAGGCGGCACGTGGGCGGTGCGTGGGCGGCCTGAGGCCTGGCAGGCGGCGCGCGGGCGGCTTAGGGCGGCTAAGGGCGGCGCGTGGGCGGCCAGGGGCCTGGCGAGCGGCGCGCGGGCTGCTTAGGGCGGCGCGCGGGCTGCTTAGGGCGGCGCGCGGGCTGCTTAGGGCGGCGCACGGGCTGCTAAGGGCGGCGCGCGGGCTGCTAGGGGCGGCGCGCGGGCTGCACGGGGCCTGGACGGGTGGCGCGCTAGCGTCTAGGGCGGCGCGCTGGCGGCGTGAGGCCTGAACGGGCGACGCGCGGGCGGCTAAGGGCCGGTCGACAGAGGTAAGAGAGAGAGCCCGGAGCGCGCTCCGGGTAGAAAAAAAGTTCGAAGTAATGGTGGGCCCTAAGCACAGTTCCCACAGGGGAACCTGCTCGATACCATGAGAAGAATAGAACGAGAATGAAATGACTATGAACGAAGTGAGTACAAATAGGAAACCCTGATTGGGTTGTACCCCCTATGGGATACCCCACTATAGCCTACACAAATAAGTAAGCTATAATGTTCTGACACTCTGCTGCAGGGGGTCGCAACTTTTTTCGCCCACAAGTCAGTCGACAGACATTGGACAAAGGGCAGCCGGAGATGGAAGGCGACCATGGAGGTTCTTTGGGAGTCACCTTTCGCTCAGCTCCGTGCGCGGTCCAACAGCTGGGAAGTCGAGCGGGAGTTGTTATGCTTCAATCGGCGCATCATGTTCAGGGGGGAGAGCCCTTTTGGGAACCGGCAAGGGGCATCCGGGATCAGAAAGACGAAGTTCGGGGACCTGCTAACTACCAAAGAAGACGGGAGCAGAACGATTAAAGACATAAAGGTGCTGACGGCTGAGTTCGGGAGCGTGGCGTCAGCAAGGTGGGCGAAAAAGGCATACGAGGCAGCGCTGGCGGAACGGAAAGAGATGCTGATGGCACCGAAATCAGCGGAGGCAGTGGTGGCAGCGGCGAAAGTGATACGTACCGTCCTGGTACGCATGCAGGAGTTCCTTTACTGGACAGTACGAGGTGTTAAGAATGGAGAGGTGGCGTCGGACCACTTGGACTGTTCGTATGGGGTGACCGTGGTCGCTCCGCAGAGACCGTACGCGGTGGATTTTCCTGTTAGAAGTGTGGCGCCGGTGAGGCAAGGTTCTAGGAGCCATGGGGGAAGTTAGAGTTAAGCTCTGCCAATCCTCACTGGTGGACGAGAAGCTTCGGCCGGCAGCGCCCAAAGTGATCAGGAGGATGTTAACAGGGCCGACCACGGAGTCGAGACGAATGCATGAGTGGGAAGCTGAGTGGGGAAAGAAAATCGACTGGAAGGCGATGAGAGAAAGAAGAGACTCTCTAGTGATCCCCTACAGAGCACGGGACGTGATACCGAGGGTGCAGAACAAGAATCTGCAGGTGGGGGGGAGGCTGGTTTTCCTGGGCCCCAGAAGCTGTTGCCCGCACTGTGGAGCAGCCGAAACCCTAGAGCACTGTATGCTCACCTGCCCGGTCATTCAGCCGGTGATTGGCGCGCTGCTGAGGTCGCTGGGCATAATAGACCCGGGGGACCAGACGAGGTCGTTAGGAGACATGCTGTTTCAAGAGGGGGCCACGAAGTCTGGCTTTCCAAGAGCAACCCTGACAGCTGTAACGATGTGGAGAATCTGGTTGGCCCGGGTGGATGCGGTGTAACGTAAGGAAAAGTTCCAAAGGAAGAAGGTGGCTCGGGCGGCTATCTATGATTTCATGCGCCATGCGAGGATCTACAGGGCGGAGAAGCTGAGGAAAGCAGCAGGGGGGCTTGCCGGGGGTCAGCCACGAGACCCGTGGGGAGGCCTGGCAGGTGACGAGAGAGCAGCAATTGGGAGGATCTGTGAAGCAGGAGAGAAGGCCACGTGGAAGGTAGATTTCCTATTCATTTGGCAGAACCCCAAGACGTTCCGTCGCCCACCGTAGACGCTGAAGGGGGGAGGCGCCCGAGCCTCGGCTGGGGTTAGCTGTTTGCCTCCAGAATCCAGTTACGACTGTGAATATATTTGTATTTGCTATAGTGCAAACTTGTTCTTAAAAAAAAAAAAAAGTAGCAAAACATCCACTCTTCGTGCCATTTTCTCGAACGAGACTATAAGTATCGTGTTTTGCCTGGGGTTTGAATGTTTTTGCATATAGTCCGCGCGGCGCTGTTGATCCGTCAGACTATAAACGAGAACAATTGTATCATATGTGCAGCTCAGGAGTGTGATAGTGTTGTTCCTTGAAGGGTGCTCTAAACCCTGATCCAAGGGCAAGGTTTTGTAAACCCAGCAAGTGGCAGAGGTCGAGCAAAAGTCTCATGAAAATGGTCGGTTACGTGAAACTATTGCGGAAATTTCCAGTACTGTACATACACCCTATTCTTGATAATTGCACACCCCTACCCCCTATTTCGAAGGTACCCTGTACGTTTTCTGGCTCGATATGACGGACACCCAAAGATTGACGAGGGTTGTTATCGAGTCTATTACTTAATTTTTCGAGTGAGTAGTAGGGGTGGATGGCTGCCCTTGGAACTCCGGGTTCTTTTCTTCCATTCGTGAGAAGGTTGCGAGACCCCCTCCTCCAATAGTCTACAATCGTTGCTTGCTACCCTACTTAAAGGTTTAACCGAGAGTATTTACCCCAGGGTGTACTTAAGAGGTGTGAACTTATCGAGAATAGGGTGTAATCAAGAAACGCCGGTCCCGCGGACTTGGTGCTGTATGCGTGGAATGGTGCTGCATCTCTGGACGAACAAATATTTGTTCCTTTGTCACGCTAGTGTGGAGCTTCCAACAAGGTTTGGTGGCTGCCAAATCTTCATATTCTCGCATCCTTTCTCCATGGTTCTGTTTTTTGCCACCCTACCCTACCCATTTAGCGAAAGGCGTGACCGACAATTTTTCACAAACCTCATCATCCGCCAAAACCAAACTCAACCTTTCTTCCGCCTAATATATCTCAGCGCGTTCAGGTCGTCGCCCAGCGGAGCTAAATGTTAGCTCGCGACAAATCCGTAATATTTTAAGGTTAGCTTTCTCGAGCTTCCGTTGTACCTTGTCCGGCTTCCGATCCTTATGGATCTCGGCCGATACTATTCCTAGCTTCTTCTAGTCAATTCAAGTTTCTGTCCCTGGATCGTCATCACCCTCGTCGTCAAAGCCCGAGTCGCATGGCCTGCGACCCACTGTCGTCGGATGGCGGAGGGTGCGAGCTCTCGGACGTGGCGATGGCTCCTGCGACGGCCATTCCGCGCGATGTATGGACTGTCGCTCAGTCTGGAGTGGCGCCGCGCGACGTCGTCGTGGGTTCGCTGTTCGATCGCAAGCGGCGGCCGCCTCAATGCGACAGTCGCGAAGCGTTCAACCTCGCAGGTCGTGATCCCTCGGCCGCTCCGACGGACGCGTTACGCGACATTCACGGAGTTGAGTCTCGCGCCATTCATGCACGCGTGGCCGTCGCCGCGCCGTCAGGAACGAGGTCTACCTTCACTCAGCCGCCATCGCCGCCGGCGGCGGCGGCGGAGGCAGTGCTAGGTCTTAGAAGATCAGCCACAGGCGAAGCCGGAGATCTTGCCTCCAAAATGTTCCATCGAACCTTAACCACAACCTCCAATCCCGCGGCGCGGCCCCTTTTAGATCCAGACAGTATCTTGCTGGATAGTGACATGGCCCGTGCCACGTGTCCGTCATCGGTAGACCCGTTTCGTCACGATGTTCCCGCGAGAATCCCGCAATTGCAGGACTGGAGCGTGGCAGCTGGCAGATCTTTTCTCCCGCGTCTCGACCGGATCCACATTAGCCGCCCCGCGCCTTCCCCAGGTGTTGCCTTCCCCGGCCACGACCGCCCCCGTCCCGCGCAACAGCACGAGTTAGGGCTATCCGCGTCCGCGCCGCACGGCTCTCTTCCGTTGAGACTGCAGTGCTCGTGGATGTGGGAGCAGCCGCTTCAGTTAAGTCAACCGAGTCAACGGAGTCAACCGCGTCAACTGGTCGATTTGAATCAGTCCACAGACGAACCGCCACTTGCGGTCCTCACGCAAGAAAAGGGAGCTCAACATGCCGCATCGTCACTCCCCTCGAGCCACTCACCAACGGCCTTGGCGTCGCAGCGCGCATTCGCCCTACAAGACTGGGGGCAGGCCGTGCATTCGCCACTCAAGAAGCCACGTGGCAGTCCCGAGGCGATTGGGCGGCAGGCGGTGGCTCTAGCGATCAGCGAACGGGAGGAGGAGATTTTCCAGAGGCGGCGCGAGCAGCGGCTGCGGATTCTGGGCGGCTTGAGACATGCGCTCGATGAACCAGCGGCGGCTTGCGCGGCTGCCGCTGCCGGCCTCGACGGGCAAAGCCCGCTGTTCGTGCTCCGCCAGGGTCCGTTCAGTTGCCGAATATCAAGTCGTGCTTGTAACGCGGAAAAGGCTGGTAGTCAGGGGGGTGTGACTGAAATGAGAGAAAGTGGAGACGCGACAGGAGGGGGCGCAGTTGAGGGGGGCGACACAACCGCCGCCAGATTCGCACCCGGGGTGTGGGGCGAGGCAGGCGCAAACGACGGGGGCGGCGGGCTAGGAAGGCGGAGCGACGAGGTGTGCAATGGGGCTGGCGCATTGGCGGAGCCGCGAACACTGGGGGCGACATTGGCGGTGGAACTCCGCTCGACGATGCGCGTGGAGGTTACTAGTCCGCACGCCGCGGCGCTCGCCTCGCTCGATGCGCGCAAGGCCCTCCCGTTTCTCGCTGCGCCGTTTGCGCCGCTTCCGGCGGGCTGGAAGCAGCAAAGGCGCGTGCGAGCGCGCTCTGCCTTTGAAAGCCGCGATCTGATGAGCGGAGGGGGGGAAGGCTTCCCCGGCTCCCCGGGTCGCGCGGAGCTGCTCGCGGAAGGCGCGTTGCGCTCGCCCGCACTGGCGCGGAAAGCTGCGGAATGCGGGAAGCGCGCGCAGAAACGGCGGAATAGCAGCGAATGGGAGCTGTACGCGGGCGGGGAAGAGGCGCGCGGGGAATGGGGGCGCGGGGAAACGGGCGGGCCGGCGGACACCGGGCGCGGCGGAAGGAGTAGCAGGGGCGGAGATTCGAGCGTAGAGACTCGGCGGGATGGCACTGGGCAAGGGGAGGGGGGAGGGGAGGCGGAACAAGGAGGGCAGCACGAGGTGGAGTCGAGGGGAGGAGCGCAGAAGGAAATGGAGAAGGAGGGAGTGAGGGAAGAGGAATGGGAGTGGGAACGAGCCAAGGTGAGGCGGGAAGAGGGACAGGGGACATTTGACATGTTGACCTGGGAACAGGGGCAGGGGCAGGGGCAGGGGCAGCAGGCGGAGATGCGATGGCAAACGATTGGCCCTCCATGGTTAACGCCTGGGCAGGCAGAGCAGCAGCAGCTAGAGCAGCAGAAGGGGCAGGGGGCGGAGCAGCAGCAGTGGTGGCAGCAGGGGGGAGCGGGGAAGCAGCGTGGAATGGAGGGGCTGGTTGAGGAGGGTGTGAGGGCGCCTCTTGTCCCATACCTGCGCTCCGCTAGCCAATCGCATGTGTGCTCGCCCCTCATTCTGACTCCCTTCTCGGCCCCACATACACGTGATAGGTTGCTGGGTGGTGCTGGAGGGAGGTTGGGTGCTGCTGCGGGCCCTGCTGCTGCTGCTGCTCCTGCTGCTGCCGCCCACCGCAGGGCAGCCAGCTCTGTGCCCATTTTGGGCGGCACGCTGGCGGTGAGCAGAGTTGGCCAGGTGGACAGTGAGAGTGGAGGCGTTTTGTCTTCTTCTGGTGTGGCTGGGGGTGCTGCTGAATTCCCTCTGTGGGTGCGGAACAGTGAAGCGGAAACGTATCTGCACTCTGCTGCCCAACCAGTGCTGCTGGCTGAGAGTATGGGGGAGTCATAAGAGGGCTACAGGAGCCGCAGATACAATTGCTGCGGGCCAGACTGGTGCAGACCAGACTGGTGCTCGTGCTGCTGCCTCTATTGTTGGTAGCTCGTGCATGCCCCTCTTACTCCCATACAGGCCCTCAGATATCAGCATAAAACACGCTGATTACACTGATTTTGTAGCTGTGATTTTCGTTTTCCCTGAAAATTCAGCATACGCTTCAATTTTGCACTGAAATTTCAGTATATCCTACCTTGTCACACTGACCATTTTGCATGTTTATTTACAAGAAACACTGAAGAATCAGTATAGTGACGCGAGTCACACTGAAACGGAGTTGACCGCGCGTGGGGGGGGGGGGGGGGGGGGGTGATAGGGTACGCATGTACAATCTGTACCTTCCCGTGATTCCTGAGACCCCACCCACACACTTGACATTTTTTCGCATGCACTGCACAGATATCAGGTGCGCGCCGAAGTGTTTAGCCTCGCTGGAACCTATCACAGCAACAACACCACACACCTTGTACTGGGGTTTCAGCTATAGATTTTTGTTATTACACTGTTGGTTCAGTTTACTTATGATTTTTACACTGGCAAAATTAGTATACCGTATTACCTCGGACATACCACCCTAGGGTGCTATGATAACTACACAAAAAAAAAGGGGGGGGGGTCTTGTCATCGGAAAAAGCTACATTGCACCCGGGTCGTTACATAATGTATATTTTTTTTAGAGCACAAAAGGTTGAGAACAAAATGTACATGTTTGACGCGGTGGTAGATTGTTGGTTGGGTGCGCAAAACCGAGGACTGGGCGATAACGTTAGTCTCGTGGGTTAGCTGCCACATTGCAAGCTCCAACAAGGCCCACAGTCAGGCCCTGATTGGAAAGAAGACACACCCCCCAGGGCTGACGTTTCATTTCGGCCCCCCCTGATTTCGGGAAAACAATTCTCCCTGGATTATGAGGGCACATATTTCGTAGGTTTGCTACTCTGATTGGTCAGTGTCCAACAACGACTTACTCAGAGTTGTCAGGGTTCAGAGCAAGAAATCAGTGTTGCAGCCAATCACGCAAATTCCTCCCATTTCCCTCCCACGCCTCACTTCCCTGGCCGGTCGAAATCAAACAGAACACACAACCAAGCTGGCAGTCGTGATTTTACTGTACTGAAGTCACACAAACTGTTGGGTCAGATCACGGTTCTTCTGAAGTTCGCCTGCCATAAAATCTGGACAAGTGTACGCGAAAGTACACGTCAGTGTGACTTGGCACCACACAGCCACGAATATCGCCCACAATGTGCCACCCAAAGTACAGTGCACGTTCGCCGTCAACCACAATGTATATTTGCAAAAACGGCAATATTACCCGTACATAACACCCACCCCCCCGGGTGCTATATCAGATCGCCCCAAAAGGGGGGTATAGTAGAAATGAGGCCCGCTATAGCACCCCCCCCGCACAAGCCACCCGGGGGGTGCTCTATTTCGGCGGGTGGTATGTCCGGGGTAATACGGTAAAAAAAACCGTGAACGCTGATTTGGACACCTCGTTGGCCGGGGCACGCTGATCCATCAGCATACCCTCAAACCAATCTGAGGGCCTGCTCCCATACCACATTGTCAGAAACCGAATTGATGATGGACTATTGTGGGTTGGGGTACATAAACCTAACCCTAATAGCTGTTCTGCATATGACACACATCACTAAAGGTTACAACATTTGACACACCCCCATAGCCTAAGTGAGGGGCGTCAAGGAAGACCAAAACCGTACGGTCACAAGACCGGTCACAAAGAAAGAAAGCTCAGGGTGGATCACAACGTCACCACACAGTCTGAGCACAAACAGAAGGGCCACAAGGCACAGTCCAGATATGCAAAGTGTACAATAAAACCAGCAAAGTCTACACAAGACGAGGACCTATTGTTTAGATAGCAGGCAGAAAGTTAGAACACGAAAGAGGATTTTCACTAGCAAGCAATGGGATACATATAGCAAACCCTAGTTTGGTTGTACTCACTATAGAGTAGCCCACTGTAGACTAGACGAATAACATATTCTGACACCTATGTCAATGAGACCTAACCGCACACAACACGTGTGGTGGTCACAAGGCGGAAGAGCCTTGGTAAAAATGTATGCAGTTTTGGCCCCGGACTCCATAAAGTCCCAACAAGCTTGTCCACGCCTCTGCAACTCTCGCAGAAGAAAGTACCCGATGCTGATGTGCTTCACTTTGTCTCGAATCGAGGCTCTCGCCAGAGGAGAATTGTTGCCTTGTTGACAGCAAACAAGGTCGGTGCTGAGCTCAGCCGCTCACCAAGGTCTATGAGCAAAAAGATCAACTAGCGTAGCTCCTGTGCAGTCATGACTCTATCAGAATGTGTTATTTGTCTAGTCTGCAGTGGGGTACTCTATAGTGAGTACAACCCAACTAGGGTTTGCTATATGTATCCCATTGCTTGCTAGTGAAAACCCCTTCTTCTACCGTCATCGCCCGGATATAAGACAGTGTTGAATAGTAGACAGGGGTTGTCTACTATACGGGTGTCTCTTATAAACAAGCTAGCCTTTTTATACGACACCTATTTGTGTGTACGAGTTAAGACATATATGTCTTATAATCAGAACCAGGGTTTAGCGGTTTTCTTGTAAACAGGGGGTGTCTTCTTAGCTAGCTTTCCTACTTTAGGGGGGTACATGCATACAGTCATGAATCTCTACTTCTACCTAACCCCCCTCAGTCACCGCCTCCTCACTTGCACTAACATCAGGCTCTACACCCAAGTCTGGCACTCGCCAGGCATGCCTAGCCGTCTCCCTAGGCTCGATCATGCGGTCAGCCTCGGCCGCCGCTCCGCGGTAGTTGGGGGTCTCCTGGTACAGCACCTCCAAGTCGGTTGCCACGGCCACCTCCCGCACGCCCTCCGCCTGCATTGCCTCCTCCTCCTCCTCCTCCTCTGGAGTCCGACCGAGCAGGCGCGTGTTGTCGCCTGTGGTCCCCCCGAGAGACATGTCCGCGGAGACATCGGTGGTGCTCCTGGCGCGCAGGTGAGACATCACCAGGTGGTTCTCTGTTCCGTCCAGCTTGCTCGAGATCCCACAGTGGCAGAACGTGTCGATGATGATATGCTTGGGGACTTGATCCCAAGCCTCCGCGATCCACTACAGCACCACGGGGTGCGGAGGCCTCCGCAGGTTCCCTGCGGGTGGGACAGAGGACGGGGCAGCGAGATGTAAGAGACACGGATATGAAGGAGCATGTTTAAGACAAGGACACGAAACAGAACATGAATAAAACCGTAAATGAAGGACCAACTCACCCTTCTTCGTCTTCAGGTGAATCCCTTCACGCATGAACCACCTGGCGTAGCGTGCTCGCACAGCAGCCTTGAAGCACCGGTTGATGGAGACGTCCAGGGGTTGAATCTGGCTCGTACAGCCCGCTGGGATGACTGCAGGGGTGATGCTGTGCGTGCGGTACGACTGAAGCATGGTCTGGGTGATGTGACCGCGTTAGGAGTCCAACACCAGCATCGCCCGCCTTGCGTTTTGGCCGCGCTGGGGGTTCAGATGGGGCAGCACCTCCTTGGACAGCCAGGTCTGCACAACGGTCTCGTCCATCCACCCGTTGTCCTGTGCTTGGACCACGATTCCTGCCAGGCACACAAGGGATAGACGGGCATCAGCACAGTGGGGCACGCTCATCAGGCAGTCGCACGGTTGAATTCACGCTCGCTTACCTTCCGGAATCTCACAGTTGGGGACGTTCTTCATCTTGAACCACACCCACGGCCGCAGCTTCTCCCCGGATGCAGTGCACGCGAGCATCACCTTCAAGCGCGTCTTCTGGTAGCCTGCAGTGCGGATTGGAACCGAGCGCGCGCCACGGTGCTCGATCGCCCGTTCGGCTGGCATCTCCACGAAAAGTGGAGTCTGGTCCGCGTTGATGATGCGGGCCAGGTCGATTTTGTGCCGCGCCCTGTTGATGCGCACAAACTTCCAGAAGGACTCGCAGTCCTTCGCGCACTCTGCAAACGGGACAAGCGCAACGAAAGCACGGGATGGTTAGACACTGGGTGAGGTACATGCATTCAATAGAGCGCCAGACAAAATCCTTCAACACGCACCTGCCGACAGACGTTGGCCGACCTTGGTCTTCACCCGCATCACCAGGTTCCAGCGGTCACGGAAACGCTGGCTCCAGTGAGAGCTCGCGTTCCAGTTCTTGCCGCGGTAATGCTTCTTCATCCACTCGCGGCTCCACTTCTAGGTGTCCTTCACCGAGATGGCCACCCCGTTAGCGCGCTGAAGGCAGATGTAGAGGTACAACGCTTCCTCCATGTCGGGGTAGTGTGAGTGGCGCCCCCCCCCCGTGCATCCGCTTGCGGCATTTGGCCGCGCCCTTGTAGACGCCCGCTTCCGCCTCCGCACACCAGCGTGTGATGCAGGCGATGGACGCGGTTGACTCCACGCTTGTCTTCTTCAAGGAGCCGAGCTCCTGATAGCGGCGCGCCCACTTAAGCTTCTCACGCACGGTCCAACTACGGCGCTTCTTCGTAGTGTCTTTGCTGCGAGGGGAAGGTGGGCGGGTGTTGGGATTATGGAGGGTGGGGTCCCTCGGCGTTACCTTCTTATGGAACGTGGGAATCGGGCCCGCCGCCGCCGCGTACTCATCGTCGCTGCCCAGCGGCTCGTTCACGACGATGTCGTCAGGATTCGGCGCCTTCTTTGCCTTCTTGCTGGATCCCGGGTCTTCGTCGGATGTCAGCTTCTTGTTGCTTGTGCGGCGACGAGCAGGGGCTTTAACAGGGGCCTTAGCAGGGGCTTCCGCGACCTTGGCTTTCCCCTTCTCCGCAGCGGTGAGTATCGTGCAACGCTCCTCCCCCGGACCGTCGTCGTCAGAGAGCACCACGCGGGCCCGCTTTGACTTGGACTGTAGGCGATGGCACAGCCTCCGCTTCAGGAGCGGGACGTCGTCGTCGGTCCCAAAGCTCCATGGGTCGTCGTCGCTGCCTTCCTCGCCTTCCGCATCCGCAACTGCGGCCGCATCCGCAGGCGCAAATGTCTCAAGTTCCGCCCCGGCCTCGTCGTCAGCCTCCTCATTCGCATCCACCGCCGCTTCCTGTGCATCCGCCGCTGCCTCCGCGTTGTTACCATGCGCATCTTTACCTCCGTCGTTGTCGAAATCACCAGCATGCCACTCTTCCACCTCGTCGTCGCTCCCGACCGGCCGATTCCACCAGTCGTCCTCCTCGATGTCAGCAGGATCTTCATCGTCGCCTGAAGAACTGTCGTCGTGGCCGTTCTCCGGCCAATCCTCCTCGGCGTCGTCGCCGTTCGCTTCGTCTCCGTCGTCCCCATCACAGCTCGCACCGGAGGCGGCGGTAGGACTTGCCGCCTTGCTCGCGTTCTTTGCCATGGCTACACGGATGTCATCGCCGGGCGAGTTAATTCGCCCGTAGTTATTAACCTGCACGTGAGGACGAGGTGAGGACTTGCCTACTGGTACTTTGTTGCGCATGGTTAGAGAGCCTGCCGAGAGCAAGGTTGAGACGAGTATTCAACCTCCTTGAGCACGAAATGAAGTGAGAGCCCGACTACCCCCCCCAGCCAGAGTGCCCCATCCACAGGTGCCGAGCCGCTCCTCTACGAGGCATCTCCTCGTAGAGGACAGCCCTCACGCTGCCAACGTGCTGCCAGCAGCGTTCTGGAAGCATCCATGCGCTCCTGGCAGCAAAACGACGCTGGCAGCATCATTAGATGCTGCCAGCACAGAGGAATGTTGCCAGCGGTGGCAGCTCCCTCACGTGGAAAATGTGGGCGCTGCATGCATCACCACCGAGGTCGGCCTGTTTAAATGAAATTGGTCTTTGGGTGGTTTCTACACACTTTGCAAGTGTTACAGTCAACTTATTTTTTTTTTTCCATTTATAAGACTTATAAGACACCCTAAACCATCCCGTTTACAAGATAACTCAAGCATTTTTGCCTGTGTACGAGATAAGACATATATGTCTTATATCCGGGCGATGACGGTATTCTAACATTCTAGCTACTGTTCTGACATACTATCAGAGCGAGTACGCTCCTGGCCTGTGGGCCCACTTGCTTCCGCTGCTGTCCTGTCTGTTGCGCGCCCCGTGACGCGCGACGTTTTTTCTTCCCGCCACGCGCTCGGGGCGCATGGCGGTTTTCTGCCCCCCCCAGCGCTCGGGGCGCACAACGGTTTTCTGCTCGCCGTGCGCCTTGAGGCGCGCGGTGGTTTACTTCCCCGCGCGTCCCCCCTTGTCGACCGTCGCGGCGCCCCCGGGGACCCGCGCGTCCCTCCCCGTCGACCGTCGCGACCCTGGGGACCCGCGAGCGCCCCCTGCGATCCTGTCGCGTCGCCCTGGGGACCCGCGCGCGACCTTCGCCATCCCGTCGCGCCGCCCTGAGGACCCGCGCGCGCCCCCTGCGCTCCCCTCGCGCCGCCCTGGGGACCCACGCGCGCCCCCTGTGCTCCCGTTGTGCTGCCTCGTGCCCTCGTGCGCCGCGAGGCTTCTTCCTCCCTGCGGGTGGCGAGTGTGGGGGTGGCGAGCATGGGGGTGCCAGGTGTGCGAGCCGTCCCCTGCTCCTCCTCCTCCTCTGTCTCCCACTACTGCAGCTACCGCTGAGGGGGGTGGGTGTGTGGGAGCCGAGGGAGTGGCGGCATAGATCTCAGCCTCAGCGGTAGAGGTTGAGACCAAGGAGGAACGCGTGGACCTCCAAGAAAAAGCTCCAGAGTTCAGGCTGAAGTAGTATCCCTGAGTAGATCTGTGAGTCTCGGCGTCGTCAGCGTAAGAAGAGTCACAGTGACCAGTAGGTACGACAGACTGTCTCCCTCCAAGTACCAGCCCTATGCTTGATGTCATCGCTAGGTACTTTGCCACCCTCACAGCACCTATCCAGAGAACAGGACGGTGTCTCCCTGGCGCAAAAAAGCGAGCAAGGATGCTGAGAAGGAAGGCGAGGTCCTTGCGAGTACAAGTTATTAGGTACATGAGGCAGCCTTCAAGCTCTGCGTAAGGACCACTAGGCTCAAACGATTCATCAAGAAAGAAGTCAGTGAGTCTGTGGTCAACGACAAGAGGTGTGCGCTTGACAGAGGTCCACTGGTGATCCCCGATTGATCCTAGTGAAGGGTTACAGGCATGTTGGCAGGGTCCTCGACATCATACATTTTTGTCTGTTTGTCTTTAAAAGTAGGGGTTTTTTTGTTGTGGAATCTGGTTTCTAAGTTGCATGTTTCTGGAATATTTGATGGGTTAGAAATTACTTTTAGGAAATGTCTGATTGAGTTAGAAGTGTTTTTCCTAGTTCATCTGATTTACAAGGGAAAATTAACACGCTTGTCTGAAACCGAGGCTTATCCATTTCGCTGTGATTGACGGTACTTCCGTCGATCACGGCAGATACCGAGCATCCCATGTCATGTTTGGGGTGACGGCGCATCATTCGCGCTCCGATGGCTGTCTAGGTTCAGCCAGGGTTTGTCATGTGTATCTGTTTTTGGATGATTCTGCAGCAGCTCTGGCTCTCACTGGGCAGTTCTAGCCAGCGCACATAAAAGTGGGTAGCAGCGGCACGCATCGACAATGCACATTTGTCGCGCTGGTCCATGTGTTTACTCGGGCGCCGCGGTGCGTGCCATCCCAGGCAAGCCAATGACTGACACGCTGTGGAATGTATGGTCAAGTTCATCTTGTTTTAACCCCCCCTTTTGCCATGCCTTAGCAAGGCCCTCGCCAAGCTCTCTCGTTTCTCGCCCAGGCATCATTCGCTCAGGGCGTTCACGCCATGGATGATCCTGGTGACATGCCACCAGATACCCGGCTTGCTGCTCCTCCCAGTGCTATGGCCCCACAACAGAAGACAGGCCTAGACTTTCTCAGACGCGTTGCCCCAACAGCCATGCCCGTATTACCTACCGCCGAGCCGCCTACCCCGGTGTTGCCCCCCGACAATCCTCCCACAGCTAGTACCGAGCCGTGGCCCGAGGCGAATTTGCGCCGTCCGCTAAGCGAACAGCCCGTCGATGCATCGCTGAGTAATAAGGACGAACGGGTCGCAACGTCTTCCGTTAGTGCTGCACGATCAGCGTGTCGTATTCGTTTCCCAACGGCTGGGCGCTTCACGTAAAGCATGCTTCGTTTTGCACGTACTCGTGTGCCTCACGTCCGCATCACGCAATCGCGGCCACGTGCGGAGGCAACGACAACCACGCCACCTGCTGCTGCTGGAGGAAGTGCTCCCCGACGTGACCCGGGTCCGTCAACGCCTACGGTGCTAGTGCCTGACCCGGACGCTCTCTTATCCGAGTTGCGGGCGAAGTGCCGCGACATATGGCAGCGACGGCTCCCGTGGCTGGTGATTTCGCAGTGCAACGATGGTCAGCCGTGCATGAAACGCACGATCTGCACAACATACGGACCTCCTAACTGTCAGTACGGGAAGAACGAGCAAGGGGGAGTCAACATCCAGAAGCAAACCATGCACAAGCATGGTTTGTCCCGTAAGCACCAAGACGCCCTCAACAAGAAGGAGCGAGCGGAAGGTGGGAAGGTCGGTCAGCGTGGTATTGACAAGTATGAGGATGAGTCTGGTGAAGTGGCGCGGCTGAAACAACTTCTTTTAGTTGTTTTATTCATTTGCAAGTCAGATGTTCCCATCGCTTTGTTTGTTGGGCTTGTGTCGTTGCTTCAACTGCTCAAGACGCCCAACATCCCGGACAAGGCGCTCGGGACTTACCAGTCAGAGTAAGTCCATGATCGTGGGTTATGATTCATTGCATCCATGGCGGCCTTACTAATCATTACTGGTTTTTATGTGCATCTATGGATTTCGGCACATGACAGTGGTTTTGTCGAAGCACCTCAAGGCTCGGCAGATGCAGTACATCATCAAGTCACCCTACTTGGGTATTCAGCTTGACGAGTCTACTGATAGGCGGCGCGTGAAGCATATGATCGTGTACTTGAGCTTCCTCAAGGACGCGAAGGTGGAGTGCGAGTTCTTCCGGCACCTCACCGTGGAGAAGTGCGACGCGTCATCTTTAATGGCCGTGCTTCTGGCACAACTAGAGAGTACCAGAGTGGATATCAGTAAGATCTCGGTCATCAATACTGATGACGCGAATGTGATGACCGGAGAGAACAATGGGATCTGCGTTCAGCTGCGATTACACATTCCGCATCTTGTGGCAACTCATTGCGTCGCTCAACGTGTCAGAACATTATAGCTTATACATCAGTGTAGGCTGTAGTGGGGTAGCCCTTAAGGGGTACAATCCAATTAGGGTTAGTACTTGTAACCAGCTGTTTCATAGTTCAATCATTCTCTCGTTCTAAACTTCACATGGTATAGAGCTGGTTCCCTCGTGGGAACTGTTCCTAGGGCCCATCGATCTTTTTTTTCCTGCCCGGAGCGCGCTTGGCCTCTGCCCGAGTCGCGCCTCATGTCGTTCCCCCTCTTACGGCCCCTAACGGCCCCTCTTACGGCCCCTAACGGCCCTGTCGCGCCGCCCTTGCGGCCCCGTCGCGCCGCCCCTGCGGCCCCGTCGCGCCGCTCTTTAAGCGGCCCCGTCGCCATCCTTCAGCGGCCCCGTTGCCGCCCTTCTGCGGCCCCGTCGCCGCCTTTCAGCGGCCCCGTCGCCGCCCTTCCGCGGCCCCGTCGCCGCCCTTTCAGCGGCCCTGTCGCCGCCCTTCCGCGGCCCCGTTGCTGCCCTTTCAGCGGCCTCGTCGCCGCCCTTCAGCGGCCCCGTCGCCGCCTTTCAGCGGCCCCGTTGCCGCCCTTCCGCGGCCCTGTTGCCGCCCTTTCAGCGGCCCTGTCGCCGCCCCTACCTGCGGCCCCGTCGCTGCCCTTCAGCGGCCCCGTTGGCGCCCTTCCGCTGCCTCGTCGCCGCCCTTTCAGGGGCCCCGTCGCCGCCCACCCCTTCCGCGGCCCTGTCGCCGCCCTTCAGCTGCTCCGTCGCCGCCTTTCAGCGGCCCCGTCGCCGCCCTTCCGCGGCCCTGACGCCGCCCTTTCAGCGGCCCCGTCGCCGCCCCTACCTGCGGCCCCGTCGCCACCCTCCAGCGGCCCCGTCGCCGCCCTTCCGCGGCCCCGTCGCCGCCCTTTCACCGGCCCCATCGCCGCCCTTCAGCGGCCCCGCCGAGCCGCCTTTGCTGCCAAGCTGCCAAGGCGCTGCGCCGCCGAGCCACCGAGCCGCTAAGCCGCCGAGCCGCTGTGCTACCGAGCCGCCGAGCCGTCTTTGCCGCCGAGCCGCCTTTGCCGCCGTGCCGCCGAGCCGCCGAGCCGCGTTTTGCCGCCGAGCCGCACTGCAGCCGAGGCGCTGCCTCACTTACCTGGTAAGAGCAGCGCCTCTGCCACTGCACTGCCCTGCCCCACTGTACTCACTGCCTGTCTACTGCTGTCATGGCCACCCCTAGTGTTCTCACCTTTGACGCTGAGGGTCGGGCAGTTGACTTTGAGGTTTGGGTAGATGATCTGCAACTTTTCCTACAGTGC